TGTAAGGGGGACTAGTGTCATCTTAGGGATGTGGCCTTGAGGTATTAGAAACTGTGTTGGTGTTTTATTCAAGTCTTTAAAGGCCAAAGTTGAGGCCTCATTGAGAACACAGCTCAGAGGAGCCTGGCTAGAGTTTGGCCACAGAGAGACTCTTTGTCACAACCAATGAGAAATAAGCAGCAGTTTTGTGGACAAATTCCCTACCCATCCGACCCCTCTAATACCAGTCTTATGCAAAGCCAGGAGACTACTCTGCTGATGAAAAATCTCATACACACTCATTCACATACTCTCTTGCACCCTCCACACTCTGAACTCATACTCACACTCACATGCATATACACCTACAATCACATACAGTTTCACAGACTCTCACACAGACTCAGATTTCTCACACTCACACACACACTCTCACCCCTGGACTGTGTGTTTCATTTCCCAGGCTCAGCTACTCAGTGTTCAGATGACAACCTGTTCACTGCCCTAGCCCTGCTGCCGAGCTTGAAGACAGGGCGGCTCCTTCAGGCAGGCTAGCCTCTGAGGCTTCCTTCTCCTGTAACTACAGTGAGCTGCGCCTGGGGTTGACCCAGGAACTCCCACCACCGGAGAAACCAGAGGAGAGATCTCTTCGGGGGGACGGGAGGGCTGCAGGCAGGAAGAAGAGAAGCTTTAGCTAGAAGGAGAATCAGGCCCTTGGGCAGCTCAGCTTGGAGGTTCCTCAGCTTGAAGCTTCACTTGGTGAATTCTCATTTGTTTACCTCATTCCACATTTAGCCCGGTTTCTGCGAAGCTCTCAGGTCATTAGGTGATAAAGCCAGCACTGGACCCCAATCCAAAGCTTCTTGCACTTTCCATGAACCCCTCTCTTTGACAAGGATCCATTTCAAATTCACCGAAAAAACTTCATGCAGGAAAAAGAAGTTAAACATTTTGTAGGTTAACTAGCCATGCTATGGTTTACATATTGTCTCACTGTTAAGCATAATTAAATTCCCTCATAATCAATTATAATCCCCTATCAACTCATCTTCCTTGGTCTTACATGCTCTTACCATGGGTTGGTTTTGTTCCTTCTGGCATGAGCGAAGGAAGAATTTTCTTCTTTGGGAGGGTGGAGCAGAGAGCATGACTTTGGAATCACACAACAATTAGCATTCCAGCCCTTCCTATGTGAGTGGTCAAATCTGAGCCCAGGTGCACCCTCCCGGAGCCTCTGCATAATGGCAGGTGGTGACTGGGATTAAACTGAGTACATATTAAAAGAACCCATCAGTTTCGGGTTTAGAATAAATGGCCAATATATTGTAACTGTTGGAATGTCTTGCTTTTACTTTTTAATTATGTAATGTCAGTATGTAGTGAGACTCAAAAATCAGAATTTCTTCAGAAGAATTGTTGTTGTTCTGGGAAAGGTGGGGGAGGGCTTCCTTCAGAATCACATTGCATGGATTGTCACTGCGCCCCAGTGCTTTGTGCTGATCTTGGTACCTGGGAAGGAGGTGGGATGGGTTGCCGTCCTCAGCAGCGTGCATTGTGACAGAGTTTCCCTGGGGAGGCAGGGAGGTTGTGCCTGTAATTTCAGATCCCAGACAGCCAGGAAGCTTCCTTCCATTTGCCCCAATCTGTCTCCATCCAATAGTTGTAGTAAATTGGGCCTGGGGAGCGGGAGAGGGGGAGGGGGAACGTTTCAGGAAGGAGGGAAATGGATGACACATGAATAATGTTCACAGCAGGGAAAGGAAAGGAGACCCTGTCTCCTGTCTGAGCATGCTCAGCAGCTGGGCTGGGCAGATGCGCAGGCAAGTAAGGAGCTTGGTCAGGCTGCATACAATGCACTACCCATTTGCTGAGCCTGAATAATAATAGGTTTTGAAACATCGTCAACAGGCACTCCGTTCTCCTGTAACATTTTGTCCTTTAGGAGGCAAGGGGAGCCAGTCTGGGTGGAAACTGGAGGGGGAAATCAGGAGAGGAGGGGAGGAGGAGGTGGAGTTCTTTGTTTCTCTCCCCAAGCTGCAGACAACTTGCCATCTTTCTGGGAGAGCTTGGCTATTCAGAACATGCTCTGAGCGCTTGACTGGAAATTTGTCGGTGCTTCTTCAGCAACATCATTTTTTCACTCTCATTCACTTTCTGATCAGGACACAGTTTCAGGAAATTGGAAAATAAATATCCAAGAAATCATTGCCAAGCTTTATAAACAGCTTCTAATGGCACGTACAGCCAAAGATACCGTAATGAAAACACACACTAAATATTTGCCTCTTCGGTGTGCTGGCATAAACTCACAGGGTTGCTCCCTGGTCCTGAATACAAACTCTGTGATCTCTGTTAGCACAGAGCAGGAATTTAAATGCCTTCTGGGAAACAAAGTCAATAATAAAGTTCTTCTATGTCAGATGTAGTTTATAAATGTGGTCAAAAGACTATACTATAAAAGCAACCCGCGTGTCAATCCTTACAGTAAGAGCATTTTCTAGTGATAAACAGTTTCCAGGATTTTTTATTTTCTCCTGCTCAATTTCCACAAGTTAACAAAGCTTCAGAGAAAGGTTTCTAGATCTTTATCTTAGAATACAGCTGTTTATCAACTACCAGAACAGTCATCTGCCAGGTAGAAAGCATCCTCGGGACTTGACATAGACACAAAAAGAGGAACTCTGCAAATAAATAGATTTTTGCAGTTCACATATTGCTTTGCCATATAAAATCCTGCAAGTGAGTGAGGCCAGACTTCTTTGTCACCTACAGAATTTTTTTTTTCTAAATAAGTAGCAGCAACTGGTTAACAATTCTTTGGGGGGGGGGGGTGACGTGAGGATTGACTTACATTATGTAGACAATTAATTGCAAAGCTAGAATACAAGAAATCAAGCAGCTACAGTTCTGTGCCATTGAATGGACTTGGCCCCTGTGCTCCAACCTCCAAATGTCAGTAAGGCACAGGTTATATGTCTTAGGGTAATAGTAAAAAGGGGAGGAAAACGGCGGTAACCCAGCCAGCTTTTGTTCAGTCAAGAAAACAAGTGCTGTGAGTGTCAAAGTACCGGTGAAAAAGTTTCTTCCTTAGAATTTCTGTCATTTTATTGCTTGCCCTTGCAAATAAGACCCTCTTTTCTTCCTTCAACCCCTGGGCTGCTGGAAAAAGTTCTTGAAGCGAAAACTTTTACCCCAGATTACAGTGCAGCTGGGACCCAGGAATAAGGAGCTGAGCAGCCCTTTCAGCAAGTGTTGGCTCATTTTGTGCTTTTCCTTACTTACTTGTGTTGTCAGTCGAGCCTCCTCGAGTCTGAGTACATCAATCAAAGCACAAGTGATAAAGGATATTCTCCTAAAGGAATCTCCCCTTCAGATGCCCCCAGTCAGTCAGCAGGTGTTTGTGAGCAGGAAGAAAAAAGATAAATAAGAGTTAATAACAGCCAATATTTATTAAGCATGCACCATGCACTAGCATGATTCTGGGCTTTAGGTATTATATGTCATGCAATGTTCACAACACCCAAGAATAACAGTATTCTTCTCTATTTATGGATGAGGTAAAACTGTAGGTAGAAGTTTGAACAGCCAATATCTGGCAGCATTTATTAATTCAGAATAGTTCCCTTAACCAGTACCCTTAACTAGCAAGAACTTTCACATTAGTGAATGCACTAAACCCTCACAATAACTCAACTACAATATATTATTATTATTCCCATTTTATTCATTGGAATAACTCAGCCAGAAGCTAATTTTCTCAAGGCCACACTTAGTAAGGAGGCAGAGCCAGAATTTAAACACTGCCAAAGCCTTTGTTCTTTCTACTGCCCTACATCGCCTCCACCAAGCATGTGGCATGCATATTCTCAAAGAGATTTAGTGCCCAGCTTTGTATTTAATAAAATGGAAGGTTGTGGCCAGGCTGCCAGGTGATGCGATTTTGTACCCAGTACAGTGGTAATGGCTGCAAGTGAGGGAAAGCTCCAGTACCAGTACTTGAAGTTACTTTGAACAAGAAGCCTAGTGGTAGGAGACTTCAAGTGTTGGTTCAGCTGCTCAGATACCAGTGGAACTAAGGCTTTCTCTTTCTCTTATCATGTTGGCCTTCTCCTCTTGAGAATCACAAGACATTTGCCATAAAGTCAGAACAGAAGGGAAGAAGAATGCACCTGCAACACCGGTACCATGTCAGCAGAAGAGCAGAGGCTTTCTCAGACTCTGCCAGCTCCCAGCTGATTTCCACTTAGGTCTCATCGATCAGCAATGTGCCCTGTGGCCACCCAGCAGACAGGGAAACTGGGAGAGCCAGTGCTTCCCTAGACATATGCTCCCCCCACCCCCCGCCCAGAAAAACTGCATCCCTATATGGATGGGGTAGTGTGATTTGGGGAAATCACAAAGACAGCATGCCTTGGCTTAGGAGTCTAGTGTGGAGACGAGTCAGGGCAACAGGCCCGTACTCAGGAGAAGGAAGATGATGTTAAAGGGGAAGAATGTTGTTGTGCCCGTTGTATCTACCTTCACATTTAAATGGTCCCAGAGCACCACACCTGTCATGCTTCCTTCCTTCCCTCATCCTGGTCTTGACTCTCTTCACTCTTTCTGCCCCAACCCCAGACCAATAGCCCTTTGGGCAAAATAATGTTGATAATTATAAGATCATCTGACTTCTTTTTTTTTAATTCTTGCAAACAATAGGTATTGAATAAATTATTGCTGAATTAATTATGTAATGAGAGGAGGAAATTCCAGGCAAATATTAGCTGGTGGGGGCTTTTTGCTGCCACAGCCAGGAAGTTCTCACTGCTTCGGAGGTGAAACTACTCAGGGGTCTGTGGAAGGCATCCTAGAGGCCGCTGTTGACAGAACCCATGCACAAATGTCAGCTAAGTGGTCCAATTAAGACAAAAGGAACCTGAAGAGACTGAAGAGTCTTGAGTCTGGGGTCAACACAACCCTGCGTGATCTTGTTGCTACTTCACGTGACTATAGCTCCACGGTTTCCTTCTTCGTCTTTGCAGAGCCAGCTCTCCCAGGCGCTGAACGGGCTGTCGGACAGGGCCAAAGAAGCCAAGGAATTCCTGGTGCAGCTCCGCAACATGGTCCAGCAGATCCAGGTACCGCAGCAACTGAGACCCAGAGGTTAAGATGTAACTGTGTGGTGGGAGAGTTTGTTTCTTCTCTTTTATTTTTATGTGTTGTCAGGGGAAACCCTGTTCTTCTGCTCTGTCTCTTCTAAAACATACAAACACACATACAGTCGAACTTCGAACATACCTTTCTCGAGGTGGTTATGTTTGCCAACAAGCCAGAAAGAACCTGGTTTTCCAAGTGGTTCCTATCTTCCACACAGAGGTCCTAATTCTCTACTACTGTGTATTTTGAAAGAGTCTTATTTCTTTCTGAATTTAGAGTCATTATTATTGAGTTTTTAAAAACTCTATAAATCCCCAAAACACCTTCCAATAATTATATCTTACCTGATGGTAACAAACAAATCACACTTTCTCTTTTTTTCTTCTTTCCTCCCTTCCATCCTTCCTTCCTTTCTTCCTTCCTTCCTTCTTTCCTTTCTTCCTTCCTTTTCTTCCTCTTTCCTTCCTTCCTGCCCCATAGTAATGCTTCTCCTTTAATTTCAGATTGCTTTGTCTTGATACAGTGACTGACATATCAGCCAGCATTTGGAAGCTGGTGAATTCTTCCCTATAGCTAAAGGGAAGAAGCCATAAATTACACGAGGTGCTAAAATAAGGACTTTCTGCACTGCTTGCCATTCCTATGTTTTAAGATTTGCCTCACAGAAGTAACCTTGGCTCTGGCCTCCAGTAAATTGTCTTTCTGAGCTAATAGTTAACCCATGTCAAGGCAGAAATGGCTTTTTAAATGTAAACCAGCCTTCCAAAGCATCTCACACTGATTTCTTTGCCTATTTTTGGCACATGTGCCATGTTAAAAGTTCTAATTCCCTAACAACCAAACACTTGTACCCTTCCTTCTGTTTTCCAAAGCAATAGAGTCCCTTCTTTTCTTTCGCTGGCATGAAATATGCAGCCCCATGCTTGCCTCTGAACCTCACCTCTTCATCAGACAAAGCTTTCTTTCAGGTCTAAATCAGAGCCTAGGAGGAGAAGGCTCCCCCCACTCCCTCCCAGTACTGCCCTGCATGGGACATAGAGAGCTCTTAGATGATGTTTTCCAGGGGACTTCTCTGAGAACTCAAAAGCAATTGCCGTGAAAGCTAAAACTTCACATTGGTGGAAGTCATTGCACAAGCCATTACTAATGCATGCCTTACACAAAGAAGACATTGCACTTGAAAACCGCCACAGATACCTATTCTTATATTAAGAGAGAGATACAGTTCTATATGGCTTTGATATAAATTAAAATTTGATAAGCTAAGCTGTTCCTTCCTTGCCAGTCCCCAAAAGTGTATAGTTTACTCAGTTGTGGTATCAGTATATACCTGAGTATGTAGTTTTGATTTGCTATAAATTATAATAATTTTTCAGATTATGGTTTGAGAGTCAAAATGAATATGCATAGCTTATTGTGAAAGGATTACTTTTAATGGATGTGTATAATTTAGTGAGAGAATAGTCTGGCATGTACAGATTTAAATTAATTTAAAAATTTAGATCCAGGATTCAATTTACACATCATGGGGAAGGTATCATTCATTTAGAACATGGTTACCCTTCCCCCACAAGCTGTTGGATGATGTCCAGCTTTAACAACCTACGCATTTGTGCTCACTTTGTTTTCCCTAATGGAACGAGCAAGTACTTTTGCCCTTGATATTCTTATAAACATCCAGTATCATTGGATTATTGTTTCATATTGAAGACCATTGCCATTCTCTTTCTTCTTTCTCTCTCTGAATTGAGTGATTCTTTTATCTCTCGTACCCCAACAACACCCCGTTTCCTCAGGCGACCAGCCTTTCTGAATGCCACCTTCCATCAAACACAGCTGGACATATGCCAGCTTTCCAAAGGATTCATGTTCAGCTCTACAAACCAAGTTTTATTTTATTTAATATGATTCAAACTTTGGATATGATTCCCTTTTGATAAAAATAAGTTCGAGTGATAGATATCTTTTCAATCTATATTTAAAGCAAAACACAAGCACTATAGAATGAAATTTAGCCAGTTATTTCTAAGATGCCCACTGTGCATTGTGGACAGAGTCCCTCTTTGCCAAGGATCTCTACCCCGCAAGTAGACGGCCCGCTCCGTTTGCTCCGGCAGCCTGGGGCGCCCAGGCACCGTTTGGCTGAGAAGTGTGCTCTCTCTTGCACAGGAGAACAATGTGGAGTTTGAGGCCTGCCTGGTGGCCCAGTGTGATGCCCTCATCGACGCCCTCAACAGAAGGAAAGCCCAGCTGCTTGCACGCGTCAACAAGGAGCACGAGCACAAGCTGAAGGTGAGTGCTGCACCGCGGGCAGAGCAGAGAGCCGCCAAGATGGCTCAAGGGCCACGAGGGACAGGCTAGACAGGAGGGGGAGGCAGGGTGCCCACAGCCCGGGGTGGCCAGCAGCCTGCCTGGCAAGGAGTGGGCATAGCCCTTATTCACCACTCACTTGTTCATTTAACTCACCAATGTGTGTTGAGTGACTTCTGGACCAGAGACTGCTTTGAGTATAGGCACAATAAAATCAATCAAAATCCCTGCCCTCATGGGGCTTATATTCTACCAGGAAGGATTAACAATAAGCAAGATAAGTAAGTAAAATATCCAATACATTAATAAAATGTGCTAAGGAAAAAATAAGGAGAGAGGAGTGAGAAGTACTGGGGATGGGGGTTGGGATTTTAGACAGGGTAGTCAGAGTGACCACACAGAGACATCATGTAGTTTTGAACTGGGAAATGGAATCTGTACTTTCCAGGAAGCAAACAAGATTTGTTTTAACTTTGAAGCGAATTGTGCATTTGGACCGCTGTACAGACTTGTCATCATACAGCAGAATCAACTGATTGCAAGTCTGGGCCCCTCCCAGCAGAAGGGTTGGTCCTCCTGGAGACATCTGATACCCCACTCATTGCCCCCTTGGAGCAGGGCAACAACATCTGGGCGGAGGCTGGATAGATGGCAAGGGCCCAGCAGAGGGACGCTCAGAAGTAGGAAGTCAGCAGAGGTCCACATGCACACCCAGTAAACTTCAGGGTGCCTACCAGTGGGTGGGGTTGGCCTCGGACCGGGGTGGAGGAAGAAGCGAGGTCTGACCCTAGGCTCTCTGTGGGGGCTGGGCAGTCAGCATCGGGGCGCTTCAACAGCGGGCAGCAGTGAGTGGACACACCAGAGGGGAGCTGGTCGCTGATGAACAGTCCAGTTAGTGACAGATTTGCCTGGCAGGTTTAGAACAGGCTCTAGTCCCTGAAGGACAAGAAAAGCCCCGTTTCTGAAGAGTAGGACCCAGTAGTAGAACCAAGGAAGAGTTTGAAAATGAAGAAAAAAGAACACAGCTGACAAGATTTGAGTCTAAAGCTTGGTGGCAGGGAAGCTTCAAGCCAGACCAGTACCCGGTTCATGGTTCATGGTTCCCAGAAACAAGGCAAGAAGCCAGGTTCTAACAGGGCCATGAGACCTGGGCAAGACATGCAGCGAGACTGGCAATGCTGAGCCCCGAACAGCAGCGTCGCCAGTCCTTCCTCTGTGCCCCGCTCTTACACCAGGACCCAGAACCCAGGAGGACAGGGAGCCAGGCAGCTCGAGAAAGAGCACCATTACCCCGGGGAAGCTTCCCACTTTCCCCAAAGGTTAAGAAACCCACACTCCAGATGTCTCTTCTGAGCACCCTCCTCCACTCCCCACCCGCTGCTCCTCAAAACACACTTAGAGCCACACGCCTGCTTCTTCCTTCCGCAAAGCCAGGAATATAAACCTTTCTCCCCTGCCTTTGTGACTTGCCCAGCTGTCCCTGTGAAAGGGCCTGTGGAGTGGAGGCAGACAGAAGGCTGCGCTGGGACAACGGGGTCCAAGCCAGAAAGGGCTGGTGAGAGCCGTGCCCCATGACCACATTTGCCAGCGAGACCACCTCTGGTGCTATATCAGAACCATATCTCTTTGAGCATTCTGATGAGACAGCAAAAGCAGAATTGGATCAAGGAGAGGCCCAGCAGATTCCTTGATAAAGAAAATTGCACATCTGGAAGTTGAATCTGAACCAAGAGCTTGGAAAGAAAAGTGCCCAGGGCTCTAATGTTCAGAGCCTCAGCCTCTTGGTGTAGACCAAGAACCAAGGGTGGGGATTGTGACACTCCTTGCAGAGCTACCAGTGCTGCCTCCTGGTGGTGAGTCTAACTGGAAGACCTTCTCGGTTCATCTTAGAATCCACTCAGGGCCCTGAGGGGTGCCACACCAACCCTGCCTGGGGGAGCCTTTGTCCTGGAAGTGAAGGTATTCAGGAAGGCACTGAGCTCTCAGGCGGCTCCTCGTGGCCTGTTCAGGCTGAATAATGGCACATTTTACTTACATGGCTTTCCCTAGTTCATCAGTTTCCAGGTTCTGGTCTTCAAAATCTGGGGTCAAGTTATTTCCTTTTGAATTCCCTATAGAACCACTGGGCAATGTCTCATGACAACATATGTAGTATTTCTTAATATACTGGGAAGGAAAGTGGGGGCACTCTTAAAGCCACTGTTTTTCACCCAAAAAGTTCCCTGAAAGTTTTACCATGTGGATTTTAATCTCATAGATTTAGCTGCAACAATCTGGAAAATACTTCTACTCCGTAAACAGTTTCATCCAAAATAGTCAGGTTAGGCCTGAATGAAAAATTCTTCTACAGTCACCATTTTTAAATCTGAATTAAAATCTAGAAATGCTCTGAGATGTGAGTCTGTAGTTGCCCAGTGAGCAACATAGAATGAGCATCCTTGGCAACCAAGGCCTGACTTTCCTAATAGCAATAGCTCACACTGGGGGACACTTTTGAGGCAACACTGTACAAATGGTGGTACAGGGATCAACTCCTCAGTTCCTTACAACACCTCTACAAGATCATTATTACAAGTATCCCCACGCTGGAGATGAGGAAACCATGACACCATAATATTAAGATCTGGTCCAAGGATCCAGAATTCAGTGCTGGTGACCTGGTTCAGAGCCCAGAATCTAGACCGCAGCACTGTACTGCCTCTGGCTGGTAGAAGTGCAATGCCCAGAGGAGGCGAGTCCCCACCCTCGCCCTTTCACCAGTCAGCCAGAGCCTAGTGCACACCTGCTGGGAGCTGAGTGCTGGATGGGGGCGGGGGGAGGGGGAGAGAAGGTGACTCAGGGTAAGCCCTGCCCTTAACGGAGCTTACATTTCAGTGGATGAGGTTAAGTCACACCCACGAAGGACTCCAGCACAGGTAGAGAGTGAGCTTCCAGACACCAATGCCACAGAAGTTGGGAGGAGGTTAAAGTCACTTCCAGCTGAAAAGGTCACCGAGTACATCAAGGGAGAGCTGGCATGGGAGTAACCCACACTTTGGGAGGTGCGCGCTAATGGCGGCTTACATCCTTCCCTGCAGGATTTGGCAAAGCTGAGGGGAAGAAAATGGGGATTATTAATTAGCACAGGGCACCGTGGTCTTGCTCCATCTAGTTAGTCCTGAGGACTGATGGGCGTTTTTTTGTTTCTGCCACTGCTCTGACATTTTTAAAAGCTCATCACTGCAGCCCTTCATTTTGGCATGCTTCAGAAACCGAGAGCTTTTATTGTTGTAGTAGAACCCAAAATACCGTTTGGATCACATAGAGCGACCTAACGTGAAAACACAGTTGTCTTTAGGAAATGAGTGGACAGCTGGGGTTTTCCCTCTAAATAGCGGGCCAACCATTTTAGTATCTAGCCATAAATTTTCTCCATTGAAATATCTTTTTAAAAATATTGTAGACACTTCTGGCACATTTCAACAGAACACAATGAACAGTTTGTGGTAAGTCATGTAGATGGTGACTATAGTGGCCACTCCAAATTTCTATATGGGAGAGATATAAGGGCAGGAATGGAAGAGGAAATTGAGAAAGCGTCATTTATTTATGTCCAAAAGAGGCAGAGGAGCCTGAAGGCTTCCCAGTCCCCTGCTTAGTGCTGCCCCTGCAGGTCGGGACTATATGAAAACCAGTTATGGGCTGTGCTATGGATGCAGATGGAGACGGCACAGGAGTGGCTTTAACGCATTACTGGGACTCCAGGTCCCACAATGGTGCATTGGTGCCGGTGGCCTGACCCGCACGGCACACTAATGCTTCTGGGGACTGCTGAGCAAGAGGCAGCTGCCTGCCCCCATTCCACCCAGGGTGGGGTTCCCTGCTCCAGATCCCAAAGGGCTATGGAAACCAGAGGCAGGTGGCTGGTCGTCCCCCATGGCAGCAAAGCTGTTGTGTCTTCTGTCTCAAGCGATTTGTTTCTCTGCTGTTTCAGCTGATTGTATCTGTCGCTGCTTCTAAAAACAGCCAGCAATGCCGATGCCATGACTACTGATGCCAGCCTCCATGTCTCCCTCTCTCCGCTCTTCTCCTCCCGCCTTTCCCCTTTCTTGTCATTTCTGTTGCTGTTCAGATTTGTGAGAAAAGACTGGCCTTTTATAGGCATCACTTGCCAAGCACAGTTCTTCTTTCTGTCTTTGTTAACTAACCCATCACTCACAGTCCGGCAGGGATAATCTTTTGGTCTTCTGCTTCCCTTGGCCAAATTCTCCAGAGGCCTGCTTTTTGCTGACAAAGAGGAGAGTTGTGTGTGTATGTTTTTCTGGCAACTTTCTCTTCTTGAGCCACCCAAAAGGCTAGGGATGCTGGAAGGGGAGTGTGTATAAACTCAGTCTTTATAGTCTCCTCATGCCCCTCTCTGAAAGCACTGATGGCTTGAGCAGATTGAATACTTCTTGTTCTGAGCAAGATGGAGCTGAGCGGTGAGAGGGTCATAAAGAGTAGGGTTCTTATAAAGAAGACACACTTTATCATTTACCAGGTCTTAACTCTGGGCAAGCGAATATGTCAGTTTCCTTTATCTGCATGTAAAATAAGGCTAGAAGTAGTAATTACCTCATGTGCCACTGGAAAACACTGAACACAGTGCTCAATAAATATTTGCTATTATTATTGATGTTATTACTGAGACAAAAATCTGGAAATCTGGTTTCAGTCAGCACACTGAAGAAGGGCTCCTAAGGGCCTATCATTCATAAATTATTGTGTATAGTGAAGAATTAGCCTGAGCATGGGTGCCACTGTCTCTGAACCTCTGAAATTCTTCAGTGGCCTGAGTTTATAATTGATTATCCTAGAAAAGAGTTCACTAAGTTTGGTGAACTATTTTTAAAAGCTGAAAAAACGGCTTTGAGAGATATGGAGATGTGACCATATTTTAGGAACACCATTTGAAATGTAAATTACAGTTAATACTATTTTGTGGTTTGAAAAAAACACTGGGA